CGTCGCGCGCGCGCCGTCGAGATCCGCGCGCGCTCTTCCGCGCACGCCGCGTCGCGGGCTCTCTCGCGCGCGACGACGCGGGCGACGCGACGCGACGCGCGCGCGCGCGGTGGACGTGTGTCGGAATTCAGAATTCATCTTGGAATTCAGAATGCACACCGGTCGCGAATCTCGACGCCCGCGTCGCGCAGAGGACGCGCGCGGACGCGTCAGGCGCCCGGGCGCGTTCGATGATGTATCGCGCGTCGCGCGCGGGCGTCGAACGCGGCGCGCGCGCGTCGGATGGCGGACGGTGGAGGAAGATGTCGCGCGCGCGTCGGACGGCGGCGACGGCGGCGGCGTGCGCGCTTTGGATGACGTTGAGCGTCGAACGGGCGCGCGCGACGGCCGTGCGCACGATGGAGGAGTTCTCTGAGCGGGTGTTGATGGCGGACGCGAACGCGATCGTGAAGTTTTACGTGGATTCGTGCGGGCACTGTCGAGCGCTGCGACGGGCGTGGACGCGCTTGGGCGAGACGTTTGGCGAACGCGTCGTCGTCGCGGAAGTCGACTGCGATGACGCGCGGGAGGTGTGCGCGCGGTACGATGTGCGGTCGTATCCGACGATTCGATTCTTTGACGAGGTGAACGGGGAGGACGGGGAGGAGTACGGGGGGAACAGAGGCGTCGATTTCGATTCGCTCGCCGCGTTCGTCGAGCATCGTCTCGAACGGTGACGCGGACGCCGCGCGTATCGTTACACCGCACGACGGATCACGCGCCTACGACGTCGCGTCCGCGTCCTCGGCGCGCATGAGACTCACCTGGGCGCTTCGCCCGCCCCCTTTCGCCGTTGGAATCGACGCCTCGACCTCCAACGCCCGCCACGCCCGCGTCCCGCCCAGGGCGTCTCTCGCGCTCGCCGGCGTCGCCCATCGCATCCACCGCCCCGTCCACGACCGCGCCGTTCCCGCGTCTCTCCGCACCATGGTCACGCGCGCGTCGCACGACGCCTTGTCACCGACCAATCCAAAATCTACCCGCGCGAGCGCGCCGTCGTCCCGCCGCGAGACGCTCGCGTTCCACCACGCCCCATCCGCGTCGAGCGTCGTCCCCAACGCCTCGGTCAATCGCGCATCGCTCGTCAGCCCCGAGCGCTGTTTCGCGAGCTCTATCGCTATTCTGTACACGACGTAATCGTCGAGCGCGGCGTCGCACGCGCGGAGCGTCACGACGGCGACGAAGGCTTGGATGAAGCGCGTCGTCGTGGACGTCTGCGATGTCGATGATTCGCTCGCGCGCGTCGACGGCGCGCTGGACGACGCCGAGGACGCGGTGAACGGACGCGCGAGACGATGGATTACGCGCGTCGTCGCGCGCATCGCGACGAACGGGGCGCGCGCGATGTGACGGGTGAAGGATGGATGAGACGCGAAGCCGACGTCGCGTCGCGCGTCGACTACGCGAGGGAATAACAATGCACGGCGTGGTCGTCCGAGGCGGTGGCGAAGAAGGTGGATGAATTCGGGCGCCATGCGATGGCGCGGACGGCGGCGCCGTGACGGTCGTCCGTGGACGCGGAGGCGCGGTGCGTCCACGTGCTCGGGTCGGCGCTCGATTGCGCGCGCGTCTCCACCGAACCGTCGTCGAATCCAATCGCGAGCGTGCACGGCGCCGAGGCGTCGGTGGAGCAGGCCAAAGACGTTGGCGCCGATGGAAATTTGGGGAGCTCGCACTCGAGTTCGCAGGTCTGCTCGATGACGCGCCAGAGCTTGACTTTTTTGTCCCGGCCCGCGGTGGCGAACGACGACCCGCTCGGAGCCCAGGACGCGGCGAAAATCTCGCGATCGTGCGCCTTGAATCGAGTGAGCAAACGCCATCCGTCCTCGCCGAACGTTCCCCGTGGGGCATCGTTCGATTGAGGCGCGAACACGCACACGTGGCGGTCTCGACTGGCGGCGAGCAGGTAGTCTCGCTCGGCGGCGGCGGGTGAAAATTCCAACGCGGTGATGGTGAGCGTCGCTCCGCTGAGCGAACCGAGCGGTTTCCAGTTTTGACTTCGAGACCACACCCACACCGCAGCCGACGAAGACGTGAGCGCGGTCGACGCAGAGGCGATCAAATCACCCCCGGGATGCGCCGCGATGGCTCGAATTTCGTTCCCGTGGCCGTACAGCTTCCTCGCCTCTGGCCAGAGCGTCGCCTGCGCGAGCACCTCCTCCAACGGCGGCGTCGCGAGCGCCTGCGGCGTGATCGCTTCGACGCCGCGCGCGTTGTACTCCTCTATTAATCCCTCTTGTTGCTGCGCCTGCGCGCGAAGCGCCGCGATGTCGCTCGGTAAATCCTCCTGTTCGCCGCCTCGAAGCGCCTTGTTCGACAATCCGAGCGCCGGGAGCTCGGCGCCGAGCGACTCCATCGAGAGCCCTCTCGCCTTTGCGAGCGCGGCGGCGCCCGCCGGATCGGTGTCTCCCAAGCTATTCGCGAGCGTGCCCAAAAACGTCCCCGGGGCCTCGAATACGCGCAGAACTTTCTCGTCCGCGCCGCTGACGTACGTTGTCGTCCCCGCGTCTCCGTCGTGCATAGTGGCGAAGCACGTGATGTCGTGACCGTGTACCTGCGGACGAGCGATCTGGCGCCATCCCTTGGGCCCTTCGCCCGACCACGGCGCGTGCACTCGAGTCGTCTGATCGTGTCCACCAGACATGAACCATCGACCGGCGGCGTCCCAGCGCAAGCACGTCACCCCCATGACGTGACCAGAGGTGCCAACCATCGGACACCACGAACCGTCTTCGGCGCGACGCCACAGGTGCAAAGCCCCACCGTGGCTGTTCGCGAGAACGACATCGCCGTCCGGTGAGAACGATGCGCCGTAGTATCCCAAACACACCGCCGCGGCTTCGCCGAGCGAGGACGACGCCATCCAGAGTTCGCGTCCCGCTTCGTCGCTGGTCGACGGCGCGCCCGTGGGCGACCAAAGCATGAGCGATCTATCCATGCTCGCCGTCATCAGGACCATTTTGGAGGGATCGGGATGCCACGCCACGGACGTGACCCAGTCTTCGTGTCCGACGAGAAGGCTCTCCAACGACGTCTTGACGCGTCGACCGACGAGAAGCGAGCTCGGCGGTTTCGGCGGCGCCGCGAGCCGCATGAACGCCGGCGCGTCCTTACCCGCCTCCTCCGCGTCCGCGTCCACGGGAACCGTCTGGATGCGCCACACGCGAGCCGTCTTATCTTGGCTCGCCGTCGCCAAAAAAACCGCGTCGTCGCTCCGCGTCGGGGCGAACTCCGCGCCCCGAACCCAATCCGCGTGTCCGTCCAGCGTCCCGCACGCCTCGAACGCGGCGACGCCGTCGGGTTCAAAAATCCTCGTAAAATCACACGCGTACACGCGAACGCGTCCATCGACGCACCCAACCGCGAGCACGTGTCGCTCGTTTCCGTCGCCCGCCCCCGGCGCCCGCGCGACGGCCACGCACGTCGGCGACGCCACGCTCGCCAGCGTCACCCGTCCACGCGCGCACAACCCTCCGTTCCCATCACGCACCCACACGATCACATCACCGTCATCCGCGCAGGACGCGATCGCGTCGCGTCCACCGACGTCCGCGCGCGCCGCGTCCCGCGTCGGCCCGCGAGCGTGCGCCCCGAATCCCAATTCCGTCCCATCACGCGCGAGCACGCGCACCCCTCCCTTGGCGTCACCGATCGCGCATCCACCGTCGACGAGCGCGACGACGCACCGCGCCGCGCCGCCGTCGATCGAGCGCGTCGTCGTCGTCGTCGTCATCGACCGCACGTCGACGCGATGGGCGGCGTCGGCGCCACAAAACACAACCTCGAGCGCGTCCTCGCGCGCGTCGTTCGCGAACGCGGCGACGCGCGAGCCGCGATTGACGCCGCACGACGCGTACGCGCGCGCGAGGACGCGCGGCATGTCCACGCGCGCGCGAGCGCGGCGGATGCGTCGGCGGCGGATGCGTCGGGGTGGACGTTAGGGTTCAGGGAGGGTTCAGGGAGGGTTGAGGGAGGGTTCAGGGAGGGTTGAGGGACGAGTGGGCGGCGCGCGAGAAAAAACACCCATGACTTTCGCGAAATATACCGGTACCCGTCGACGTCTCGAGGGGCTCGACGCGCACGTCGTCGTACCTGGATTTTTCTTCACCCACGCCGTGAACGCTTTTTATCGGTGTCACGCGAAAAATCTTACCGGATTCGAGATACAGTTTTTGATTCAGCCCTCGACTCCCCGTATACGCCGTTTTTCCGGAGACGTGTCGGACGACCCCGCGGGGGCGTCTCACGCGTGCGACGCGGACACACCGCACGCCGAGACCCCGGCGGCGCCGCGCGCGCGACACGACGACGACGACGACGACGACGATGGTGCGCGATCGCGCGCGCGGGCGAAGACGGCGACGCACGACGCGCGCGCGTGATCGAAGCGTCGCGCGCGCGCGCGGTGAAGACGGTGGACGACGACGGTGGACGCGCGGGGGGTGGGAATCCACGGACGATCCGCCGCCGAACGGACGACGGGGAGGAGGGATGGCGACGTCGAACGCGTCGACGATGCGGTGGTGGACGACGCGCGCGGACGTGGGGGGGGGGTGGATGCCGCGCGCGGTATGACTGACGATGCCGGTTGGGTTGGACGCGCGTAGGCGCAATTCGTGCTGTTCGAATCCGCGAGCGGGTACGGGTTGTTCGAGACGCTCGACGTCGACGTCGTGGGCCAGAGCCTGGAGAAGGTGCAGGAGCAGACGCAGGACGCCGGGAAGTTTGGGAAGATGGTCAAGTTGCATGGTTTTAAACCGTTCACGAGCGCGGCGAACGCGTTGGAGCAGATCAACTGCGTGTCGGAGGGCGTCGCGAGCGAGGATTTGCAAAATTTTTTGGAACAAAACTTGCCGAGACAAAAGGACTCGGCGAAGGCCAAGTACCAGCTCGGGGTATCGGACTCCAAGCTCGGGAACTCCATCGTGGAATCGACGAAGATTCCGTGCGTGTGCAACGACAGCGTCGGGGAGATTCTTCGTGGCATTCGTCAACACTTTACGAAATTCGTCAAGGGTTTCAAGGGTGGCGACTACGAAAAGGCGCAGCTCGGTTTGGCGCACTCGTACTCTCGCGCCAAGGTAAAGTTTAACGTCAACCGATCGGATAACATGATCATCCAAGCCATCGCGTTGATCGACACGCTCGATAAGGACATCAACACCTTTATCATGCGCGTGCGAGAGTGGTACGGCTGGCACTTTCCGGAGCTCGTCAAGGTTTGCAACGACAACTACATGTACGCGCAACTCGCCTTGGTGATCAAGGACAAGGCTACGCTGACCGATGAGGCGCTTCCAGCGCTTACGAAGATTACGGGAGACGAGGACAAGGCGAAGGAAGTCATCGAAGCCGCCAAGGCGTCGATGGGTCAGGACATCTCTCCGGTGGACATGATCAACATCGAAGCCTTCGCGAAGCGCGTCATCTCCCTCGCCGAGTACAGAACCAGTTTGCACAACTACTTGAGCAACAAAATGAACGTGGTACGTATTATGATTCGAATCGAACGCGACGTATACGATGAAGCTCTCGGGATTCGTGGGGTTGATGATTATGATACACCAATCACAGACCTGATCTGAATGACCTTGTTGAAACAATTCATGCACCACTCTGACTCACGTCTGTGGAGAACAACATCACTACGAAGCGCGCGAGCGAGAGCGTGAAATATATCGAACGAAACGACTGACCAAGATGTTATTTTTCTGCTCGAAACAGGTGGCTCCGAACCTCGGCGCTCTCATCGGCGACATCATCGCCGCGCGTTTGATTTCCCACGCCGGTTCGCTCACAAACTTAGCAAAGTACCCGGCGTCCACGGTGCAAATTCTCGGCGCCGAAAAGGCTCTCTTTCGAGCCCTGAAGACCAAGGGGAACACGCCGAAGTACGGTTTGATCTTCCACAGCACGTTCATCGGTAAGGCGAACGCGCGCAACAAGGGACGAATCTCCCGTTACTTAGCCAACAAGTGTAGTATCGCGAGCAGAATCGACTGCTTCAGCGATTTCCAAACCACCTTGTTCGGCGAGAAGTTGAAGGAGCAAGTTGAGGAGCGATTGGCATTTTACGACAAGGGTACGGCGCCGCGCAAGAACATCGCGATGATGCAAGAGGTCATCGCCGAGATTGGTCCGCAAGACGGCGGCTCGAAGAAGCGCAGCGCGGATGACGCGGCGACGCCCTCGAAGAAGGTTAAAAAGGACAAAAAGGATAAAAAGGAAAAGTCTGCGAAGAAGGCGAAGAAGTCTGAGAAGTGATTCCTCCAAGTCTATCCGAGTTTTGCTGTGTATTTCTAAATTCTGAAACGTAATGACGTTCTACGCGAGCGCCTCCGTCGCCTTTTCACCAATCAGTGCCTCGACGTCGCCCTCGAACACTCTCGGTCGCGTCTGCGGCGGGTAATACCCCCGTACTTTCCCGTCACGATCGATCAGAAACTTCCCAAAGTTCCACTCGATTCGTCTCACCCCCGCGCGCGACTTCAACCACTTGAACGTCTCGCTCGCGCCGCTCCCGTTCACCTTCACCTTTTGAAACACCATCCCCTTGAACCCTCGCTTCCGCGCGAACGCGCACGCGGATTTCGCCCCGAAAGGCTCTTGAAACATGAACCCGTTACACGGGAACGCCAAGATTGTCAAGTCGTCACCGAATCTGTCCTGTAAGAGCTTGAAATCTTCGTAGTTTTTCGTCGTCAAACCGCAGTACGACGCGACGTTGACGACGAGCACGACGCCGCCGCGCGTGGAGGCGAAGTCGAAAGCGGTGCCATCGTGTAGGGGCTCGCTCGGGAGTTGGTCGAAGGTGTCGCAGGCGTCGATGACGCTCGAGGGGCGTTTGGACTGAAACGCGCCCATCGGTTTGTGAGGCTCGTGGGGCGCGCGTTCGTCGCGTCGCGGGTTGACGTCACTACAATATTTCTACAGACGCGACGAGGAGCGTTGAATCGATATAATAGGATCGCGCCCCACGTACTCGCGCGCGCCCAGCGTGCGTGCGCGAACACTCGCGCGCGCGCGGGTTGTTTTCAATCCCGTCGGCGACGTCAACCCGCGATTTCGCCGCCTTCTTCCAAGAGCGCCTCGGCCTCCATCTTGAGCGCCCTCGCGTCTTCGGCATCGAGAGACATCGCCTGAACGACCTCAGCGAGATCGAATCTGTCGACATCGTCTGTTTGAGGTTCTTCGTACTCGACGTCGTCCGAGTCCATGCGAGCGAGTCCAGGCGAGCCGCCGGGTTTGACGCTATCTGAACGTGACAACGCGTCGATGCCTCCGGCGAATTGCGCCGCTTTGTCTCGATACTCGCCAACCGCGTGCTTTGGCAGCGATTTAGACGTTTGGAACTTCGCCTCTGGACCACCCTGCTCGAGCGAATCAAACTTGCGAGACATGTCTGCGATACCGCTGGGATAGTCGAACCCACTCTTCTTTTCGCTCCCATCGTACTCGCGCTTCGCCTGAGGATGATAGTGGAGGATCTCTTCGTACAAAAGCTCTCGAACCTCTTCGCGACTCAACTTTCGTTGGTCCCAGGCGAAGACTGACTTTGGGAGCGGATGGCGCGACGGTTCTCTCGAGACATCCGCCAACCCTTCGAAATACGGATCTGCCAGCGCCTGCGCCGCGGTCGGGCGATCGTCCGGGTCGAACGCCAAAAGTTTTTCGAGTAAATTAAGCGCCTTGCTGTCGACACCGGGAAATTTTTCCGACAGCGGCGTCGCCGGTTTAATACGCATTTGCTGCAGGAAACGTCTCGCCTTTTCGTTGCGCACTTTCGCGATTTGCAGCGGCGTCGGCGTCCCGAGCAAATCTGTGATGAGCTCCAACTGCTTCACGACGTTCTTCCCCGGAAACAGAGGTCGACCTCGTAGAAGCTCCGCGAATATGCACCCGACGCCCCAAATATCGATGGCTGGCGTGTACTTGGTGAAGAAGCTCCCGCAGAGTTCGGGCGCGCGATACCATCTGGTCGCCACGTAGTCGGTCCAGAAAATCATCTGCGGTCCCGTCTTCGCCGTCATCGCCCGCGCGAGCCCGAAATCACAAATCTTGAGCTTACAGTCGCTGTTCGCCAAGATATTTTTTGGCTTCAAGTCTCGATGAAACACATTCGCGCTGTGCATGTACTTCAACCCCCTGAGCAACTGATACAGGAAAAACTGATGATGCTCATCCGTCAAGTCATCGTTCGCCTTGATCACCTGATGCAAATCCGTCCCCATGAGCTCGAACACGATGAACACCTCGTTAAATTCCCTCGGATTCGGCGGCAACATGATGTTCAACACCTCCACAATGTCCGGATGTTTCAGGTGTCGCAGCAGCGTCACCTCTCGCAGGATCCGCGTCGCATCGCTCGCGTGATCGAACGCGTTTCGAACCTTTTTTATCGCAACCTTTTGTCCACTCTCTCGATCGATCGCCGCGCACACGACGCCGTACGACCCCTTGCCGATCACCTCCAGGAGCTCGTACCGCTGGCTCTCGTTCGCGGTCCACGACGCGGTGGCGAAGAACTCATCTCTCGACGCCGTGCTCGCCGCGCTCTCGCGCTCGCGGGCGCTCATGCCGCGCGCGCGACGCCGTCGCGTCGCGGTGCGACGCGACGCGGACGCTTCCGGAGGTCGGTCGCGGTCCCGTACACGCGGGTGTGGGTCGCGGTCCCGTACACGCGGGTGTGGGTCGCGGTCCCGTACACGCGGGTGTCTCACCCATCCCACGCGATCCCCGCGACCCCGCGGCGGGGACCCGCGCACGCGCGCGCGCGACGATGCGCGCGACGATGCGAGCGACGACCGCGCGCGTGACGCCGCGCGCGCGCGAAGGACACCGCGCGCGCGTTCGTGGCGGACGAAAATCGATGGGCATGACGTCGACACCGCGCCGCGCAACGCTCGAGGTCGACGCCGCGCCCGACGCGACGGCGACGACGACGACGGCGACCGCGGACGAGGACGACGCGAAAGCGAGGGCGTGGGTCGACGGGAGAGCGGCGACGGCGCGGGCGCTCGGGGTGGCGTGCGCGTGCGCGGCGCGCGACGCGCGGGCGGCTTCGGAGGCGCTCGGGGACGTCGCGCTCGATCCGGAGAGCGCGCGGGCGGTGAGCGCGGTGTTGGGACCGTTGTTTTCGGTGAGCACGGTGTTGTTCATCGTGCGAATCGTCATGACGTGGTACCCGAGCGTTCCGTACACGAAACTTCCGTGGGTCGTCGCGTACGCGCCGACGGAACCGTTGCTCAAGCCGACGCGGGCGCTCGTGCCGCCGGTGGGGGGGGTGGACGTCTCGCCGATCATTTGGGTGGGGATGATTAGTTTCATGAATGAGATTTTGCTCGGGAAGCAAGGTTTGCTCGTGTTACTGGCGAATAAGCAGTTGGGGTAGGGCGCGCGGGCGCGGGCGCGGGCGACGCGCCGGAGAACGCGAGAGTTCGAGGGACGAACGGACAAGCTCCCGTGACGCGATGATGGCGTCGATGTAATCGATTTCACGCTCTTTCGCGCGACGACGCGAAGCGAGACGCGGCGTCGACGTCTCGAGCGCGCGCGCGCGCGCCGCACACCGCGTCTCGCGTCGCGCCCGATGTCCATCGGTCGACACGCCGCGCGACGCACCGCCACCGTCGCGGGGTCCCGCACCGCGACGTCGCGCTCGAGATGCCGGCACGACGTCGACGAGGGCGTCGCGCACGCGACGAAGAGATGGACGCGGACGAGGACGCAGATGTCAGTCCGCGCGCGCGCGTCTTCCTCGAACGCGAGCGCCGCGTCCGAGGTCGCGCGAGCGCTCGGTTTGCGCCGGGATGATCTTCTTCTCGACGTCGTGCGCGAGCGCGAGGCGTCGACGAGCGGGACGATGTCGGTGGAGGTGACGAACCCGGCGACGGGGACGACGCTCGCGCGGTGTCGAGCGACGAGCGCGAACGATGTAGAACACATCCTGAGGCGATCGAAAGAGAGTCAAGAGCGGTGGGCGAATGAGTACACCGCGCACGCGCGAGCGAAGATTGTGCGGAGGTGGTTCGAGCTCGTGGAGGCGAACGCGGAGGACTTGGCGCGCGTGTGCACGGCGGAGTCGGGAAAACCTCTGGCGGAGTCGCGAGCGGAGGTTGCGTACGCGGCGTCGTTTTTGGAGTGGTTCGCGGATGAGGGACGAAGGGTGTACGGCGATGTCGTGCCGTCATCCTCCACGGGGTCGAGAATCATGGCGATCAAGCAACCGGTTGGGGTGACGGCGGCCATCACGCCGTGGAATTTTCCGCTGGCGATGATCACGAGGAAAGCTGGCGCCGCGCTCGCCGCGGGGTGTTCCATGGTGGTGAAACCGAGTGAAGAGACTCCTCTGAGCGCGTTCGCCCTTGGAGCGCTCGCCAAGGAGGCTGGTTGCCCGGATGGAGTTTTACAGTTTGTCGTCGGCGATCCGGTGGTCATCGGCGAGCTCCTGTGCGCGTCTCCAATCGTGCGTAAGATCACGTTCACGGGCAGCACGCGCGTTGGAAAACTCTTAATGAAGCAAAGTTCAGATACGGTGAAGCGTGTGAGCATGGAACTCGGCGGAAACGCTCCGTTCATCGTGTGCGCCGACGCGGACGTTGACGCCGCTGTCCGAGGCGCCATGGCGAGCAAGTTTAGAAATTCGGGACAGACGTGCGTGTGCGCGCAGCGCTTCATAGTGCACGAATCGGTCGAAGATGATTTCGTTCGAAAGCTCACCGCGGCGGCGAACGCGCTGAAATTAGGTAACGGTCTGGAAGACGAAAGCGTCACGCAGGGTCCGCTCATCAACGCCGCGCAAGTCGAGCGCGTGGACGCGCACGTGCGCGACGCCCTGAGTAAGGGTGCGGTGTGTCACTCGGGTGGCAAGCGCGCCGATGGAACATTTTACGAGCCCACCGTGCTGTCCAAGTGCACGGATGACATGCTCGTGATGCAGGAAGAGACGTTCGGCCCCGTCGCGGCGATTACGACATTCGTCTCCGACGACGACGCGCTTCGCATGGCCAACTCCACCAACGCCGGGTTGGCGTCGTACGTCTTCACGTCCGACTTGAAACGGTCGTACACGTTCAGCGAAAAGCTCGAATTCGGCATCGTCGGCGTGAACACCGGGGTCATCTCCACCGCGCAAGCGCCTTTCGGCGGCGTGAAGGAGTCGGGCGTCGGCCGCGAGGGCGGTAAATACGGGATGGAAGAATACGTCGAGACCAAGTACGTGTGCGTCGGGGGATTAGACTAGGCGGTGTTCGCGAATGATCTCTAGACTACGTGGTAAACTACAAAAATCGAGCGTCAAGCGTCGTTCTCTCCCTCCGCGCGCCTCTCTGGCGGTTCTTCTCGCGTCGGCACGATTTTGACCGGTCCCGGCGTGCACCGATCGACGCGAAAATTCCGACTCCCCTTTCTCAACAAAACCTCACACTGTTCCCTGGACAGCATTCGCACCCCGACGTCTTCGCACACCCCCAAGCGCTCGGCCTCTCGCATCACCCACAGCCGTCTGTTATTCATCGAATACAGTCGCCGCTCCGTCTTCGCCCGATCACCCCGCCGTTCCCGCCGCCCGCGCCCGCGTCGCCCTCGATCCTCCGACGCCGACCCATCGCTCTCGACCGCGTCCACGTCGTGCGTCACCACGGAGATGGGCGGTAAATCATCCACGGTGATTCGTCCTCGAACGATGTCATCCAACGTCTCCGCCAACGTTTTCGCGCATCCACTGAAGCGATCATGAATGCGTCGGTGCGTGAACCAAATCGTCGACGGACGCACCCGCGTGCGCGCCGTCGTCCCGCGCGTCGCGTGCCGAGACATCGGCGTCGCGCGTCGTCGAGTGCGCGGGATGTTTGGATGCATGATGAATGATTCGTGATGCGTTGAATCATTCATCAATGTCCACGCACTCGACGACGCGCGACGCGTCGCCGCCGCCGCGCGCGCGTCGATGGACATGCGCGCGGCGTGCGCGCGCCGCGCCGAGCGCGCGCTCGAGCTCGGGGCGCACGAGAGCGCGGTGCGATGGGCGTCGTTAGCGCTCGGGACGTTGGACGCGACTTTGGACGACGACGGCACGGCGCGGGCTCGCGCGCGAGGGCGCGAGGGATGGCTCGCGGACGCGCGCGCGTTGGAGATCAAAGGCGACGCGTTGGTCGGGTCGATGGACGTCCGGGGTGGGGTGGGGGCGTATCGCGCGGCGCGGACGACGCGCGCGCGGGCGCGCGGCGGCACGCGCGGAGGCGGCGCGGGCAGGGCGAGCGAGGAGGAGATGGCGCGTGAAGAGGCGATCGGGATGAAGCTCGCGCGTGCGTTGGCGTCGATCGGGGACGCGACGGCGTTGGTGGAGGCGAGAGAGGTGTTGGAGGCGACGCCGGTGGAGCGCCGAACGCTCGAGCACGGGTTGTTGAGCGCGAGAATAGCGAGGAGCGAAGGGCGCGATCGAGCCGCCGTGACGGGGTATAAAGAGGTTCTGTTGAAATGGCCGTTCGCGATCGAGGCGGCGGTGGCGCTGGCGGAGCTCGGGGTGAAGGCGGTGGACACGCGGCGGGCGCTTCGCGACGCGGCGACCGACGAGGACGCGCGCTCGGCCGAGTTCGGTGCGCTCGAGGCGTACGTCACGGCTTTTGCCGCGCTCGAGGCGGAGGACACGCTGACGGCGCGAAACGCGGTCGCGCAACTGCGTCAAGAGTTCCCGAATGATCCGTTCATCGCCGAGGCGAGGGCTCGAATCAACGCCGACAACGATCGAGACGCGGAATCAGCCATGCGCGAGTACGCGGCGATTCGCGCGAGGGATCCGCACTTTGTGCGCGGCATGGATGAGTATGGGCTCATGCTTTACGACAACGGTCACAAACAATCGCTCGAGGCGTTGAGCTCTGAAATGCTACGTTTAAGTCCCCACGCGTCCGAGTCGTGGACGTGCGCGGCGCTCTACTTTGAGACGAAACTAGGTAGCGGTAGAGGCGGTAGAGAGGAGGCTTTTGCGGCGGCAGAGAAAGCTGTGAGGATCAATCCGCGCTCACACGTCGCGCTCTTGGTGTTGGGATCAATTTATCTCAGGGCGAATCGTTATAAATCTGCGGTTCGCGCGTTCAACCAGTGCAACGCCATCAAAGTTTCGTTGAAGGCATACCACGGACTGGTCAAGGCGTACCTCGCCCTCGGATCGACGGCAAACGCGATGATGTGCGCGCGTCAGGCGCACAAACGAAGTCCGCAAAACGCGCTCGCGTGGAGTTTACTCGGAGATGTGCACGCGAGGAACCGGGACGAGTACGAAAAGGCGATCAAGGCGTACGAGCAAGCGCTCGCGTACAATCCTCGTCTCGTCCGAGCGGTCAAGTCGCTCGCGGCGCTCAATATCAAGATGGGAAAAGTACACGTCGCGCGCGCCATCTTGCAGCGGCAGTTGGACGATTATCGACCCTCCGACGAGGATGAGCTCATCCAGTTGTACTGCCGCCTGGCCCAGGTGTTGATGCTGTCAAGACAGACCGCCGAGAGTGTCAAGTATTACACGCGCGCGTTGGCGATCCGACCGGACTGTGTCATCGCGCAAAAAGCGCTGGAGAAATTTGAGCAGACGCGGAACCCAAAATTCGCAGCAGCGTTGTCCGAGGAGGACGTAGAAGGAAACGAGGACCACATGATGGACGACGACGTCGAGTCTAGAGAAAACTCTGAGGAGTGGATGGAGCAACGAGGCGCGTGAACTCTTAGATGAAAAGATTGTTTCAATGACAGCGACTAGAACACGCTCGCCTTCTCTTCGTACTTGTAGAATCGCAACGTCGCCTTGGACGGATCCTTGACGCACAGGTAGTTGCCGTCTTCAAACTTACGACACGTCTCGAGGAAGAGCTTAAGTGAACCCCACATGCTCGACTCCTTCAGGTTGATTTGCTGCGCGAAATCCTTCGTCTTATACGTTTGCGTGTTGAGCACGACGTGCAAGTTCGGGTCGCGCGGGTGCGTGCGCGATACGAAACCGAGCTTGATGAGCTCAGCGTCCACGAGCATGGCCATCGCGGTCCACTTCGCCAACTTGTTCGCGTTGTTCTTCAGCTCGTTCGCGATCACCGCACCGCGCTGGGTTTCAATTTTAAGTCGCCAGTCAATGCCGGTGACCTTGGAGTCGAACTCGTTCAAAGCCTTGACAAGAGTGGTGAGCGCCTTGCCCTTATCCATTCCCTTGGATTCACTCACGCCATTGTACTCGCATCGGCAAACGAGCTGTGTCTTCTCGTCCACGTTCCACTTACGGTACTTGTAAGCGACGGAATCTGTCTCCACTTCGTTGAAGAACGGCACGGGTTCACCAACCTTGACGGCGTCCTTCTCGGAGTTGAGAGACTGTTCGACAAAGGCGCGGTTCACCTTGGTTCCCTCCTGGGAAAGTTGCGGAACTCCGTTCATGTCGTCCGGGTCGTCCGTGATGGCTTCTTGAGCGGTTTCGGACACGGTCAGCAAGTCGAAGTTACCGTCGTTGCGTTTGTCTAAGAACATCTTTCCGTCCTTCTTGCGGATGAGAATGTCCCAAGAGTAGTTGGAGCGCGCCGCGCACATAATGGCGGCCAAGACGTTGTCCGTGGTGAACACGTTGCCGGCGCCCGATTCGGAGTACTTTTGAATGATCGGATCATCGCTCGCGGTGAGATTGCGCGGCGGTTCGTCTGTGCGGCGTCGCAAAGGCACCTCGGTCTTCGGCGTGACTCGGTCGTACGACTTGTCAAACCAGCGCACGGAGCCGTACGAAGCCAAATCCTCCGGCTGCGCGTCCTCGAGCACGTGCGATTGCTTGATGATCTCCGGGAAATGGATTTGTTCCACCACTTCCCAGTCCGGGCGAATGTCCACCGAGGCGCTGTAGTGCACCTGCTGCTGCTGCCTGTTGTACGCCCAGGTGTTCCACTGCGCGGCTTTTCTCGACTGAATGCGCGCTTGGCGGTTACGTTCGCGCTCAGCCCCGACGCCAAGATCTCTCGCGAACTCTTCCGTCATCCCGCGTCCGCGTCCGCGTCCACCAAACTGATTCCAGCGTCCGCCGCCCCGTCCGCCGCCGCCGCCGTCCCGTCGACCGCTCCCTCTCGTCGTCGCGTTGTCCACCAAACTGAAGCTCTCCTCCTCCACCACGTCCGCGACAAAGTTAAACACCGTCTCCACGCCAGCACCGCCGTTCGCCGCCGCCTTATCCTTCGCCCTTTCCTCCTTTCTTTCTCGTCTTTCCCTCTTCTCTCGCGTCTCCCCTCTGTTCCCGCGTCCGTCTCGCTCATCCTCCGCCAACCAATCGCTCACGCGTCCAAACTTATCGGTATGATTATACGGGGCATAGATCATCTCCGCGATCTCACTCGTCACCAAGCGCTCGCGCGTGGGCCCGAACGTCTCCGCGTCCGTCGCCATCGTCGAGAGCTCCAATCTCGCCGCCATGATTTCTCGATCGTCGTGCGCCCGCGTCTCGCTCGCACGCGTCACTCGGTCGTCGTCACCGGCACACGCGCGCGCGATCGAGAGCGGGGCGTCTTCGAACGCGCGCGTCTCCGAACGCGAGCGAGCGACGATGACGCGCGCGCGATCGACGCCTTAGGTCTTCGCGGTCTCGCGCGCGTCGACGACATCGCCTTAGTCGTCACTATATACGCCATTCGATCTCGTACATCACGTATGTTAAGATCTATGTACGCACGCGACGCGCTCGGGGTCGACCGGTGACATACTTTACGTCCATCATCGCCGTGTGTCCTCGACAGTGGTGATGACATGTCAACATAAGTAAATGATAGACTTTACATAGCCTCAATAGGGCATCACGATCTCCACCCTAGGCCGGCGCCGTGTGGTATATACATACCGTTACATCCATGTATGTATGATACACACATAGTCGTACTGCGAGACGTATAGTGTTAGGATTGTTGCGGGCTAAACTAGGTTGGTCGCATCACGATCTATGAGTCGTGATGCTGACGCCGATCACGAAATCGATGATTCAGATCATGATGCTATATTGAGTGTATGTAAAGCCTATCATTTGCTGATATTGACGGGTATACCTCACTGATAGGCATCAAGTGACTGATAATACGCTATGTCGGTACCGGTTTCGAGGAAATACAGCGATGATAAGTAAATTGTGTCACTGTTCTAACCCTAGCACCCCCTCGAAGAGCGTCGCCGCAAGCTTGAAATTTCCTCCAAGGTCGCATCACGATCCATGGGTCGTGATCGTGATGCAGATCACGAAGTTTCGGGTCGTGAGGGAGATCGTGATGCCAATTTTACCCAACCCAGGGGCTAAATATGATTGTATAGCCTTCCCGAGTCTTGAATAAGTGATGAGTTATGACTCATGACGTGTAGACTCTAGTTAGAGTCAACAGGCTCGCTATTTTTAATCATCATCAGATCTTTACGCACAGAACGCGCTACGACGCGATCACCACAGGACCTTAAGCTTACATCGATCGATTGTTGCTAAACAACTCTCTTCGTTGTACCCGCGCGGGTGGTAGGTGTTTCGCGTTAGCACAGGTCGTTCGAGTTGCGCAAGATCTATTTTGGGGAGACGAAGAGTCGCCAGAGATCATGTTCCTAGCACATGACATCGCCGCGATCGCCAAGTTGGGCGAGATCACTCCCGCAAACACTGTGGAGTTTACTGATCTAGTCTGCGAGGCGTTGATGTACCGACTCAAGTCGTCAGCGGGCCAGGGCAAACGAAAGGAGAAAGCATCCACGGCCGCGCTTGCGGCCGCTGACCTCCTCAAATTTGTTATCGATTCAAGATTTAGATCTGAGTCGATAGGGTTAAATGAGATTAAAGCGGCAGTTCAATCCATCGATCCTCAAGTCAGGCGGAATATTAATTTAAGAAGGTTATGTTCGTCTATATATGAGGTAAATGATCAAGCTCCGATCGCGATAATACCAGGACCTCCGGCAGTTCGTACCAGGCAGGGCGGGAACGTACCTGTGCAGCCTCCCATCGATAGGGTGCTTGCTACCCTCGGAAACATCCATCCCGGATGTGCGTTAGTACGATTGGAGGACGCCGACCGTGAGCTGGCGGAGTCAATATTCGAACTCAGTTCAGAAAAAGGGTTTCCTGAGAAACAAAAGTTCATCATCCACAACGCAAGAAGCTCCAAGTGGTCTGGAGTGGAGTTGTTGGACAGACTGTTTCAGGACGTAGACCCATTTGTTACTTTGTCTACTCTATTGGAGAACAAGTTTCATAATGTCGCATACAAGGGTCCAGGCGAGATGGTCACATTCTTTTCAGAAAAGAGAAAATGTTTTGAACGCCTACCCAAGGCGACTATGATACGATTGAACCAAGGCAAAGAATTGGAAGTTGCGGTGGATGAGAATATGGCCGTTGCTGGAGTGCAAGTGCCAGGAAGAAAGGTCTCACGGTACATCGGACTTACACAATCTCTTGTAGCCAATATCATGGCTTCAGAGAACTCTCGTCTACAAGTACGCCAAGGTTGCCAAGATATAATGTCTCGTGGCGCGGCTTCTGCATCCGCTTTCGACTTCGGGTTAGTGTCTCAGCAACTTATAATGGTTGACAAATTAGATGCCGACAAAGAACCGAAATCTATGTTGAAAGTAAATAACATCACCACCAAGAGCTTTAAAAGGAAGAATTGGAAAGGGGGAGCAAAGTGCTACAATTGTGGTGAACCTGGTCATCGATACTGGGACTGCTCCAAAGAACTCAAGCCCGAATTTCAGAAGAAGGTTGATGCATTTAACACAAAGCAGAAGAAACGTAAGACGGAGTGATGGTCTGTCCTCGGAGTTGAGTCAAAAGACGCATTGCAAGCATCAGGTGCTAATCACATGATTATGGATACTGGCGCATCCGTCAGCATAGTCATGGATTGCAATAAAATTAACAGCGTGATTCAAATATCCGAGGAAGTACTCACAACCATAAATGGAAATACACCTGTAAAGTGCGCAGGGTATGCGACAGTTACTCTGCAGGACACAGAAGGTGAGTTATTTGATTTTACCTTTGAGGCAAGATGCGCGCCAGGTGCAAAACTCCCAGGAGCGGGCATTCTGAGTTGCCCAGCTATCTTGGATAGTTGCAAGGATTGCAAAATGTGTCTTAGCCGAAAACAAGGATTTATAACCTTGCCAGATAAGCAGGGAAGATTGAGGTCAGTTGCGATGCAGGTCACTGGAGGTGGTTTGCCGGAATTGAAAATATTCAACAAACAGAAGGTATGCTTGATATCTGCAGAAACGAAAGTTCTGCATGATACATTGGGCCACCTATCTCATTGTAGAATCATTCACGCTATCAATGAAGGATGGATCACTGGGGTAGATGCCAAAAGGGTATCACCTGAGTTAAAGGAACTCACCAGCGAGTGCTATCCGTGCAAACTAGGGCAAAACAGGAACCGCACACACGGGAGAAGAGATTCCCGACGTACTATGCAACCATTGGAGTTGATTCATTTGGATGTGTGTTTTGGTCCTCCCAGAGGCTCAGTAGTTTGTGAAGTTGTTGATCATGCCTCCGCACTAGTGATAGCGGATGATGCGACGAGATTCAACTTTGTGTCTAGCCAAGATCCATGATTGTCGGAGGCAGTCAGGTATAAATATTGTGCTCCACATACGAGGCGTTCATACAGACGGCGGCAGCGACATCGCTGCAGTGTTCAAGGAATTTTGCACTGAAAATGGCATAAACTTTACGACCTCGGATGTCAATCATCCTTGGCAAAATGGGTTAGCTGAGAGGTCAGTGCAAGCACTTAAGTATATAGCCAAAAAGCTTTTACTGGCATCAGGAGTGCCGAGCGAGTTTTGGGTATACGCCATGAAACACGCGGCGATGATTCGGAATGTTGTTGGCATAAAGGTGCACGGGAAGGTGATATGCCCTTTCGCTGAATTACTCGGAAGATCGGTGAGCATTGAAGACCTTCATCCATTTGGGTGCAGAGCATTTATGTCAAGAACTCAACTTAGCCAAAGTTTGAAAGCTATTAAAGACAAGACGAGATTACCAGAGTGGAAGCTGAATCGGTTACCGGTTTGGTTTCTAGGGTACGCAGAGGTCTGTCTAACCCCCAAGAAGTTCGTGGTTGTTGTGCCAAATACGGTGTTGCAAAGGGCAACCAATATGAAGGGCCACTTAAAATTTACCAGTGAACTTATTTTTGACCATAATGGTTATACGCGCAACATTGACGCACAAAAGGCGAGCTTGAACGCCGACTTCAATAACCCGCAGGGCACACTCAACCGTTCAGACCTGAATGAATGGCTTGATGGCGTAGAGTCATCGGAGTTCGATGACATCGGTTCATCGGATTTTGAGTTAGATTGTGATGTTAACCTCGACGGGGGTCCACACGTGCATCCGGTAGCCGAAGAAATTGTCAAGCAACGGGAACCAAAAGGGCAACCGTCATTGTCGACTGAACCTAATCTCTTGGGGAAAGATAAAGGAGTCGACGTATTATTGTCAGCTGAACCTAGTCTCTCAGAGGGAGCCAAAGGAGTTGACGCAATTGAACCGTTTCAGGAGCGGAATGTAGTGCCTCCTAGATGGCTTGAGCACGCAGAATCATTCCAAAATTCAGGTTGGGCGCCTACTGGGTATGCCATTGACTCCGAAACGAAGGAAGGAGGCATTGATGAAGGAAACGATCCAACTGCTGGAACTGATCAGCCAGCGGAAGGTATCGAAGAGCTCATTAATCACTTCAGTAAGAATGGTAGAGTATCGGAGCAAGATCTCCGGGCACACCACATGTTTCTAGTTGCCAAGTATGAGGTCGATGACCCACTGATACCTTTCGATATTCGAGGAGAATCTACACCCGTAGCACATGTTGTTTATGCCACCGCTGTGGCGCACATGGAGGACTACGGGAAGGTAGTTGATGAGTCGACAGTCGATTTCACACCATCCCGAGAGAAGGAGTTCAATGGGCTGCTAGAACAAACGTTGGAAGCAGTTGATATGAAGTCAGGAGCCAATATATGCGGCACGAAGTGGGTAGATAAAGTGAAACCAGATGGGACATTGAAATCCAGGCTTGTAGTGCAGGGATTCACCCAAGTGTGGTTAAAGGACTACCATGATACATTCAGTGCAGTCGCGACGCTCACGACCTTCAGACTGCTGATTAATTTAGCTGCGATCCTCGGATGGGTGGTATACACCATAGATGTATCTCAAGCGTACACGCAAGGTGAACTGCATGAGGAAATATTTATCCGGGCGCCAGCAACGCATCCACTTCCAAAAGGGAAGGTATACAGGCTGCGAAGGCCGTTGTATGGTACTAAGCAGGCTGGCAGGTGTTGGTACCTGCACGTTACAAAGACATTGAGACAGATGGGATTGACACAGGCGTCAAAGGACTCATGCCTTTTCATTCAAAGGACAAAGTCTGGAGCGCCTGAGTTGTTGATTTCAGTGCTTGTTGATGATTTGATGATCATAGCCGAAGAAGAGACAATGGTGAAACAATTCCACGTAAGATTCTCGAAAGTGTACAAGGTATCTCAATTTGAACAGATTAAAGTGTACAACGGCATAGAGATCACACGTAAAAGCAAGCACATTTATGTCCTTAGTCAACATTATGCGATATCCCAGTTCCTAGCGAAGTGTGCGGTACAAGATGTGAATCCTTGTGATAGTCCGTTGCTGCCGTCAGACACGTTTGTACTAGGCGAAGGGGGTGAAGCATGCAATCATAGTGAAAAAGAGCTATTCCAGAGTATTTTGGGATCACTCAATTGGTTCAACATAGCCTCCAGGCCTGACCTTGCCGTAGCGTGTAGCTTAGCGGGTCGAGTAGCGAGTCAACCAACCAAGAAGCAGTTCAAGCAATTGACTAGAATAGTTGGATACCTCAAGAGACACTCAGCAAAAGAGTTGACATATGATGGCTCAAAGTGCAAGGGTGTGGTGAGGTTGTATGGATTCAGCGACTCAGATTGGGCGGGGCAGCGCATGTCGAAAGACCCGAGTGATAGGTGTGGTAGGAAATCAACTTCAGGATATATATCATATTCCTGTGGACCCACAAACTGGAAGAGTAAGCTCCAAAATATTCCAGCGACCAGTTCTGCTCAAGCGGAGTTTATTGCCATGTATGAAGCGGCTAAGGACCTATTGTTCCAGACATTGTTGTTGAAGGAAATAGGAATCCATATCGTTAGAGTGCCACTGTTTTGTGACAACACGACCACCATCAAACAGATGATGGAAACGATGTCGTCTAAGTCAAACAAACACATGGAGATCAGATACGCCTGGCTCCAACATTATGCACATCGCGAAGGATACATTCAACCTTTCAACATAGCTTCAGGTGACAACGTGGCAGACTTGTTGACGAAAATTCTACCTCTGTGCAAAGTTAAGCGAGAGGGGCTCTCGAATCATTTCAATATTCTCTGTGAGCAGATTTTCTCAGGAGACATTCAAGGATATATTGACGCGAGAATGAAAGAAGGTATGGTTCGCGGAGATAAGTTGAACACGTATGAACACTACCTTAAATCGGTCGAACAAAATGAAATCCAACCTTTCAGAAGCAACAGCACTAGCGGTTAAAGACTAGTGAAGGCTAAGGGGGTGTGTTAGGATTGTTGCGGGCTAAATATGATTGTATAGCCTTCCCGAGTCTTGAATAAGTGATGAGTTATGACTCATGACGTGTAGACTCTAGTTAGAGTCAACAGGCTCGCTATTTTTAATCATCATCAGATCTTTACGCACAGAACGCGCTACGACGCGATCACCACAGGACCTTAAGCTTACAACAAATTTACTTTATTTACGAAGCACTTACTTAAGTAAGGTGAGAATCACGGGGATAGCGTTACTCGAAAGGGGGAGGAGTAAATGCCGGATGTCCGGCTCCATTTGTCCCACCCCGGAAATAGCTAGGGGTGCATTTGTCCGGTCCAATCCTGGCTCCCTTCGGCTTAGCTTCCTTGTAGTCAGAACTATACACGAATAACATTTACTCTAAACCCCACCTAAACCCTACATAGGGTTTAGGTATCTTTTTCTCGCGAGCGTGCTACGCGCACAGGTGCTCGACGTGTCACTTTCATCCGCGTTACGGGCTTCGGAAAGGACTTTGAACGCCTTGTGTTGATGGTTGTATCGCGAATGATTCTCCGTGTAACGTACAATGCCTCGGTTTTCGACCAGAAACTGAATCCGTGACAACATTACAGGTGTCAGTGACCTAGGAAGCGCTTCGGCAATAATTCGTTTCAACATGTTTCCCAATCGTCGTCATCGCGGACATACGTACCCCCCGCTCGCCAAGCCGCGGATCCTGGGATCGGCGGAGCCAATACAAAATTGAAAGGCGAGATGAAGACAAGAGCCTCGTGCGATGCAAGTCGTAACGTTAGAGTACCCTCATCCCATTCTACAGCGCATGGACATCTATCCCCCCAGTCTGAGGTCAGTCGAAACAATTTATCGTCACCTTTCTCAACGTCATCCAAACGCTCGCGCCCGCGAGGAAATGTCTTCGAAGTTGTGTCCAAGTCTACTTTGAAATATGCATCGGCCCATGGCTTGGGTATTACGGCTACCATACTGTCGACCATGACGCAGCCCGCGTCCGCGCACTTGCACTCTTCGCGCGGGCCGACTTGCCAGCTCAGGTGTTGGGATGTCACTTTACCCCGACTGATGCGCCTCGCACGTAGCATGACGGCGTCTTTGTGAAAAGGAAACGTAATATCGCTCAGCCACATCATATCAGGCCGCGTCTTTAAAAAGTACTTGACCCGAGATGACAGTTCCGGTGAGCTCTGCGTCACTCTTTCGAAACACTCGTGTGCTCTTGAAAATTGATCGGAACTGTTGTACTCGAAAAAATCGCTCACAATTATATGCTGTTCAATGTGTTTTCGCGTCGTTTCTGTCATCTTCTCGACGCAGATGTACGTCGACACACGAAACTCGCGCGTCTCCAGGGGCGCGACGACGTGCTGACGCAGTGTCTTCATGCAAGGTACTAGCACGTTTTCTCTATGCTCTCTACCTATGACGAGCACAGAAACCTCGTCTTTGTTCTTTTGTGGGTGCATTTTCGACGTCGGGAGCCCAGAGTCGACGAAGACGCGTTGAGTTCGCACTGCGTTCTTCAGTGTAACAGCTCTCGCTCGATCGAGGTCAGCCGTCAACGTTCCGCGCGTTATCGCGAGCGCGAAGATCGCGAGCGCCGCGAGTGTGACTGCCCTCGTACTTCGATCACTCGCCCGAGCAATCATCATCACGAACGCGGGGTTGTTTGCGTCTTCATCGACCTCTCGCGCGCGGGGCCGTGACTTCTTTTAGCGTGCACGCGTGTACACGTGAGTCGCGTTCTCATGAATTAAGTCTCGTCTTCCTCACAGTCGCTCTCGCCACGCGATGAGGTCCTCTTCGCATGGCGAGACGGCGGACCGCCGTCGCGTGTGCGCATCACGTCGTTCAAAGTCATATACAGATACGTCATTGACCTCTATCACTGATCTATTGACGCACATAAATGTAAACATACACGTAAACCCGCATCGCTCGGTGCGATCGCGCGGTCGCGTCGTCTCGCCCACGCGCTGGTCCCACCGGACGACCGTCGTGGGACGTCCGCGCGCGATGGGCCGGGCGCGACGCCGGGCGCGCGCGCGCGCGATCGTCGCCGCGTTCGCCATCGGTGCGTGCGCGCTCGTCGTCCTCGCCGGTATGTTCGCGACGGTCGCGACGAGCGACGGTTCGCGCGATGGCTTTACCGTGACCGACGACGCGACGACGACGACGACGACGGTGGATTCGAGGGACGTCGAGACGCGCGAGACGGCTGGAGTGGACGTTGAGACCAACGTCGACGCCGTGGAGGGGAGGTCAGGGGACGGGTCGACGACGACGAGGACGACGACGCTCAAGGATTTGCTCTCGCGCGGAGGCGAAGACGAGGGAGCGTGCACGGGCGCCGAGGCGCGAGGGAAATTCTACCCGGCGAGTGAGGCGTTGATCTTGGAGATAGAACATAGGATAAAATCGAGAATCGGGTTCGGTTGGGCGCGCTGGGGTGACGCCGAGATGGCGGCGAGCGCGAGAGACGGGAGCGCGATGCGTTTGGTGGCGAGAGCGTTGGTGTCAAAGTCGGCGACGCCGAATTGCGTTTTAAACGTCGGTGTGCACTGGTTATGTAACCCAGGGTTGAGAATGCAGTGGAACGCCGCGGCAGAAGGGATCGACCAAGAGGACACGGCGTCGCATTCGTTTTTTTTCCTTCCCATGGGCGACCCGGCGGATGACGACAGAGAGAAGTGGCGCGCGAAGGGCATTCGCGGCTACGTCGACGTGATCAAGGAGAGTGAGCGAAAAATCATTCTACTCGGACCACCACATGTCGCCAAGCTACCGTTTCTCAGCGACGCGACGTTCATCGACGCCTCGGGATCTGGCGGCGCCGGCGATCACGCGGCGGACGACGTCGTCGCCAAACTCTTCGAAATCGGCGACGCCATGAAGGATCCACCGATCGTGATCATGGCTGCCGGCATGGCCGCAAAAACTGCCATCGTGAGCGGTCAAGATAGGATCAACGACCGCGGGTGGGGCTTCATCGACGCCGGAACGACGCTCGACGGGTACGCGGGTAAACACTCGCGCGATTACAACGACCCCAAAAAGTACTGCGAAAAGACGAAATCGCGCGCGCGTCGTCCCGGCGACGGCATCGAGCGATGGACCGCCCCGGGCGTGTGCGCCGGTCTCGGCATCGTTTGATTCCCTCTCCGAATCATCCGTCGTTCGCGCGCGTAGTTTCGTATTGCGCACCGTCCAATCCGCGCGTTCACGAAGCACACCGCCTGTCGTGATTGAAACCGACGCAATGGTCGACATCTCGCGCGCGGGTGATGGTATGATCGATGGATGGACACATACATAGCGCTTGTACATGTACAGTACGTAATTGCTACCTCCGCGGTCCCCCGTGGTGGCGCCGCGCCGTCTTTATCGTCGTCCTCGTCCGCCCGCGCCCGCGGCGAGGTGAGAGCGCGGTGCGCGGACGACGGTGCGCGGACGACGCGCGTCGATCGAGGGAACGCTCGCGCGGTGGACGACGACGACGCGAGCGATAGGGTGCGCGACGGAGCGCTCGGCGGAGCACAGGAATCCCACCGCGCGTGAAGTTTCCGTCGTGTTTCACCGCGTCGCGCGATGTCCGCTCGAGCGCCGAGCGCGATGCGGACGACGAGCGCGGCGACGACGAGCGCATCACGCGTCGCGCGCGCGAGGACGGTCGAGCGGGCGCGCTCGGGGGGGGTGAACGGGAAGACGGATGGGACCAGAGCGGGCGGCTCGACCCGGACGCGGGCCCGCGCGAAAGATTCGGGCGAAGCGGGCGACAGACGTCGCGCGTCGGGTCGAGAGGACGTGTACGGGGCGATATCATCGTTGGCGTCGACGTCGGCACGTGCGAGCGAGTCGAGGGTGCGAACACGTCGGGGAGGTCGGGCGCGACCGAGAGCGATCGACGAGCCGACTCGCTTCAGCGATGGGACCGAGGAGCAAGAGCGAACGAACGGAGAACTGCTCTTTGAGGACGGCGTGAACGGAGAGTCGGATGTGGTGTTCGCCGAGGGAACGGTGTATAAAAAGAAGCTGGAAGGACCGTCGAGCGAAGAGCTTTGGTACGCCGGTTACATTCGCGAGTTGGAGGGTTCGCTGTCCGCGGACGAAGAGGAGGAAGAGGAAGCGGATGAAGTCGAAATAGGTCCCAAGGCAAAACGGAATCCGGGCAGGGAGGGGATCCGGGGAATCATTTACTACGCGATGCACCGTCTTCCAGGCATGACGAGAAGTCCGCTCCCGACGGTTGTTCAAAACCCAGTGGACAATCTTTCGGTGTGGGCGCTAGCGACGTGCGGATTTCTGTGGACCGCGTCGACGTGCATGGTTTTCTCGCTACTTCCAGTCTTCTTGCAGACCGAGTTCGGGTTCTCCAACACGCGTATCGGCGCCGTCGAGGGCTTCGCCCTCTTTGTCTCTAATTTTAGCAGAGTTTTTTCCGGTGTCCTCTCAGATATCTTGAAGTCTCGAGTCAAGGTGATCGCGGTCGGTTCAGTGATGACTGCGGCGATGAAGGTCACCTTAGCATCGGCGGTGAGCGTCCAACAAGTGGTCATCGGGAAGCTTT